AAAGGTTAAATCAAACCTACAGGCTTCGAGGAAGAATTCATCGTCAGGTACAGACAATAATCCCCGCCAAACCTTTATCTGCTTGGGAAGTCAAATAGCCGAGCCACTAGCCTTCCTATTCCAGAGGACGTTCGATCACACTGAAATCCCATCGTCGTGGAAGCAAGGAATAATTTCACCGATTTACAAAGGCGGTTGCCGTAGCGATCCCACTCACTCCCGCCGTGTAACCCTCTTTTCAGTGCTGTTCAAAGTCACGGAGACCATAGTAGTAGATTCCCTAATGGGAGACCTAGAGAAGAACAACATTTTGTCACCGAATCAATATGGATTGCGAAAGAAACGATCCGGCGCTATCAATTTGCTGATCGCACGAGAAGAATAGACAAAAGCAATTGATGTCAGCGACGCGTTATAATTTATTTATCTGGATTTCTCAAAAGCGTTTGATCGAGTGAATCACAACATTCTACTGCAGAAACTATAATTACGGTATTTGCGGCATCGTGCTTGGTTGGTTGGATCGAAACATTTCTCCGACATCGGACCGTATCGGCTCGTGTTTCTGATTCGCTTTCCAGTCCTATGGACGTTATCCATGGGGTTCCACAAGGATCTGTGCTTGGTCCGCGAATTCTCCTAACATTCATAAACGACCTACCGAAGGTTCTGGGGCCAAAATCATTACTGTTTGCAGATGACGCCAAAATTTGGAGTACAGTAACGCAGCCATTTATGCAAACGCCGAGACCAGCTCATCTCTGAACTCTTCTGAACGATATTGAATTCAATGTGTCTAAGTGTACCGTTCAATCTGTACGACACAAGGGGTGAGTTTCGTATTTCCTCGGAAATGAACAACTGCCACAAGCCTCAACTGAGAAGGACCTGGGCATCAACATTCAAGAAAACTCAAGCTGCTAACTCAACTGCACCAAAGTGTCCAACGCAGCTGTAAAGAATGTCGGTTTGAATAAGCCGGTATTTGGCCGGTTCGAGTCAGCGCTTTTTCCCCGTCTCCTATTGGCATACATTCACTCACTCACAGAGTTATGCTATCCAGGCATGAAATTCATGGCTACAACGTGATTGCAGATTGCTGGAGCGTCCACAAAGGATGGCCACCAAAATGGTCAGGGGATGAATCGTGGAGGTTGAAGTCGCTGGGGTTATATTCCAACCACCACGGATGCATCAGAGGAGATATGATTATGGTATACCAAATAATGCAAAACCCAAGCCATCCGTGTTGCCCACTTCTGAAATTATCACCTAATTTTCATCTTTGAGGACATCCGTTCAAACTAGTGGTCTGAAATTTCCGATTGGAGTGCCGGTGTCAGTCATTCGCAGTCAGAGTGTGTCCAATCTGGAACTCTCTTCCACCCCACGTCGTCTGTGCTCAAAGCATTGAATCTCTCAAACTGAGACTCGATGAAACATTAGCACACCTTACATTCGAACATAAGTGAAGCTGCGTGTAGCAGTGGAAGAATCCTGTATCGTGTGACATTTTGCACACAAGGAATTGTATGTATCACTCACTTATAACCACCACACGAACCTATGGGACGAGAAAAGCATGAGCTTGTAAGTTATTCCCATAATAAATCTTTGAATCTTTGATCCAAATGTTTGGACATTCATATTTATTTTCTGTTTTCTCCTAAGCACACACATGTTGTAATCAATAGTCTATGAATGAGAAAGTTCCCCTGGCAGCATACTACCGGTTTCACGGTGAGTGCTGCTCGTCAGGCATGCTTATCCGGTAATCTTTTATCACCTCATTCATATGCTTGTATCTAGAAGGTGTATTTCACGTTGGTTGTGGTTAGTAGCATCTAAACCACCTACAAAAATTCGAATCTTTGTATCGATCCATCAGTGAAACTGGTTCTGATAGAGCTGTCCAAACAAATTTACTCGGTGTTGCAAATGAGATTATTATGACGCAAACCCACGTCCTGGGTACAAGTATAGGAATGATGTGACAAAAGATTTCTGGATACGCAGTGGCAAGAACCGCGAAGCCGGTCATATGCATCCAGGGAATTTTGTGAATTCATTGAATGAATGAATGAATGAATTTATATACTGCTTATTGTTAGATATACATCTTACATCGTATCTGCTCCCTATTTTTCAGGTCCGATTGCATGGTTCATTGTCGCAGAAATGTTTACCCAAGAGACCCGAGATGCTGTGATCTCCGGGGCTGTTGCTATGAACTGGTTGTGTAACATTGTTGTCGGTTTGGTTTTCCTGGAAATGATGGTAAGTCGTTTCCTATTATGCTCAATGAGAAATTGGTCTCCCCCTTATGTCATTTCTCCACCCTCCGGGATAGACACAAGGTTTGTCTTCCACTACTCAACTAGGTAGGACCTTTTCAAACGAGTTCAGAGCTCGGTGTTCACCAATTTGGGATAGATGTGGTCTAAGGGATGCTAGAAAACCATTTGCTTCATGCTCCCATTCGGATGTGGGGCCTGTTTAACAGCCTACTGAAACTGTTTCACCAGTTCCGGCAGTTTTCTCGCATTCGATTTTGCCCGGTAGAACTGAACTGAATATCCCGTGTGTTGCAGTTATAGCTCCTTAAAACAAAATACGCTGCTTAATCGATAGAATGTAAACATTAAAAAAAAACAATGATGAAACCGTTCCAAACTGCTAATGAAAACAACCCATCACACTCATTGCATCACATGCTTATAACATTATATGGAAGCAGTTATCGAGAACAAGCGTCTTAGCTGCTGTGTTTGTCAAGTTGGTCATTCAAAGTCCAAATTAGTTATTCTTTGTGTTTATTCTCAATGTGTGCCGATGTTTGATTATATCCCTCCAGCTGCTAATGCTTTATTTGTAATGCCTAGTGATGGTAATGATGGGAGTAATGGGGTGGTTGTGATAGGCTCCTTAAAGCTAAAACAAGTGCTGTGTGTTATCCGATATCCGAACCGAGTGAGTTGTGTGTGTGTGTGTACATGGCGAGACAGGTAACGCGCTGTCCTTCTGTCGTCCTTGCATATCTTAAAACAATGTACACAACGCAAGGACCAAATTGGTATCGTAGATTGGTTATATCTACGTGTGACCTTTGCAGTTGATTCGGGGTCGGTTGGTTTTAGAGACCGACAACACACCTCATTAATCCGGATCGTTCCGAATGCATCAGTTCGTCAATAACCTACGAGGGCTGGGTGTCAGACCACATGGTCAAGGGTCATCATAGAAGAAATGTATCACAGCAACCCTGTCTTGGCGAAGTTGCCGCCTTATTGTTCACTAAGGTCGATGCGTGTGTTTCTCTTCACGTGTCTGGAGTTACAATCAAAATATCGATCGAGTTAATTGATGAACGGAGGTATTAACTGGTGTGGTTGACAGGGTGCAGTTCTCTTCGGATTTCATCTGGTGGTGGTTATACTGTCAAACGGTGAAATTCCATATGCCACAGATAATCTACGAATTGCGCAAGCGATAATTTTATGCTAATATATCATCGCGCACCGCTGACTACCGTGTACAAGAAATGTCCCCAAACTCAAATAGCTGAAGTAGGGGAGACGTTTCACTTTCTTATGCCATACAGCAACTTTGGAACAGAGACCGACTTATGCCCACGTGACATACTGGACCGTTGTCCATTCATCGTGAGACACGCGGTTCAGTTACTAAGTTGGTAATCTGCCTCTGATAAAGGCGAAGTTACAAAGACAAGATTGTTCCCATTGTACTCCTGCCCTGATTACAAAATATCGTCTTTTAGAGATTGTGGGGCCATCCGGTTTTAAGAATACACGTGAAGTGCTCAACTTCCAGCAACAACAGCGTTGGTCAACAATCAACGTTATCCAAGTGACAGGAATCATCGATCGCTGTAGTTCGACAGTGAAATGCTGTTGTTGGTTAACCCCGGAAGTTGACACATTCTAACGATCCAAGGAGAACAGAGTGGGACACTAAACAAAATGGGTTGGCAAGTATGTAGTCGGTTTTACAGATCACACAAGTCTTACTTACTTACTTACGTCTTACTCCAGACTGTATGCTAAATGGATCACAGTACAGTAATCTTGCTTGTGAGTGTAATACACGATACTCAATCAACCTGATGGCCAGGAATCGGGGTTTTGGGCCAACTGCCCTTGGTGAACTGCCAGTGACCCACCTATCCGGTTTTAGCCTCAGATGTTGGTTTTTCGTCCTCCCATTTTGGCGGGAAAATACCTCTGATACGAGAAGGTAGTGAGTGGGGCTTCCTCATCAGAGGTTATTTGAGACGTTTGGTCGTATTTCGCGAGATGGAAGTAAAGGGTGACCAGTTGCAACCCTAGGCAGCCACCTTCTAGAATACTGAAGCTTTCAGTTACCTTAAAAATAAACCAGATGGTCAAAAGGTCAGCACAATGCATAAGCTACATCGTATGCAGTGGTTAAGCGACCCAGAGCTGTGAGGTAGCGATAATTCATTAGAACGGTTTTACCAATGGCTGTTCATTGCCGAGCTGCTGTGATTGTTGATCCCTATCCGTTGTACCTTACGTATCGTCATTGCTATACATTCATTGCATTTATTTTGCTAACCACTTTGCGAGCGCAACTGCTGCTGCTGCTGTTGTAAGTTGCGCGTCGCGCTTGTGCACTTATAACCGGATTGCCTTACATTCTCTAGGACAATAGTTCGCCTGTAGGTTATACGTTTCTGTAGTAAGGGTGGGGTACTGAGTTGTTGTTAATTGAACTAGATTTAGAGTTCGCGTGTGCGCTTCACGCAGCCATCTGCGATAGCAACTTTTATGCTTACTTATTCCTGTCGTGGGTCTCGTGTCACCAGAGCGTTTGTTATCTCTCCACGTTTGAGGACATGCAAGACCCATTTCAAGGGAACTGTAAAT